GGTTCAGTAGATTCAGAACTGTCGTCTCTTATTCCATACTCTTCACTGAGTTTGATTTCGGCCTCTATGATAGTCCACTTTAAAGCAAATTGTCGAAATGTTTTAAATGCGGTCTCTCTCTCTCCAGAATTCTTTGATGCCACGGCATTTTCATGTAGTGCGGAGGTATTCCATGCTCGATGTCGCTGTTCTTTCGTATCTCGTTTTTCAAGCACAGCATTTTTTCATAATAGGAAGAGAATCACTGAAGTAAGGTGGCTTGCTTGACTCAATATCGTTTACGGTAATTTGACTTTGCACATGACTCCAATCTCTGTCACCACAATTCAATCGTTTTCGTCAGATTGAATGTGAAACCAATGATATTGCCCCCAGAGTCGACTTCTCTATTACTTGTTGCACTAGAGAAGTACACACCCCAACGTTTAGTACTACATCGATACTATGCAATTATGGGATCAGTGCCACGTGATGTAATGTAATTTAAAGTATAAGCTAATGCACTAGCTTTCGCTACAGGGATATAGCTAATTTTAGAGTTTCTCGAATACGTACCATGTTATGAATCGCAAGAGAACAAGGTCATAGATATGTGTAATGCAGACATCACCCTGTTCCAAAAGACGATCAATGGAGCTCCTGAAATTTACATCCTAACTGAAGAGTCGGTCGTACGACAAATGCTAGCTGATATTTGCAGGTATGCCGCTGCTTTCTTAAGTTCTGTACAAAACGTGTTTAATGCAAGCGATTTTGAATATACTCACGATCATCAGCAAGTCCTAAAATGTAGGTGGAAGCACTGTTATTAGGCAATAGGTTGGTTTTACCTTAAGTTCTCTTAAATATTGCTTTCTGGGATACTTTCAAATGAAAAGAGAGTTAACACCGCCGTATTTTTCGACCGTTTTCCTATTGTTTCCTAATCGCCAATTTTGGCTTCGATTTTGACTCCCATAGTCATTACTCGTTCTTCCTGCAGTCCATACAGCCAACGACGAGTGAGGTCACCAATATTCCAGTACTTTACGATACCTGTAGACTTGTGCGGTCTAATGGCGCAATGCCCACAAAGTCGGTGTTAAACTCCGAAGGTACCGATTTCGATTCCAGCAGAGGAGAAATCATTGCTTTAAAAAATGGATTCCTTGAGTAAGGAAATTAAAATACGTTTCCTCAGACTGGCTTTGCCCGGTAGGTAGAAAGAATGACTCAGAATCGAGAGGCCCAGTCGAATCACTCGCTTTTGTTCTTTCAAAGTTGATAAGTGAGTACCAATTCTTGGATATCAAACACTAGGCACGCCGCGTAGCTGCCTCCGACCCTGCCCTTAAAGTACAGAGCACTTGGCCGATGGCCTGGAAATGAAGATCAAAGTCCCACCATTGACACCGAGAAAAAAGACGCAGAAAATGACAAATGACTTCATCATGAAAGAGTAGAAATGACCGACATTCCGACGGCCATCAACTTTCTTTCTTTCCGTTCTTTTTGGCGGTACCTGACCTGCAAAATAATTTTCGATCTCTTTTGAAAGGAGGTATATATTAATCACCTGAAGAGCATCTGCATTTATCCTTACTGAAAACACCTATTTCCAAAACCTGAAATACCTATGAACAAGAAGAATGGGAGATTCCTGCCTTAATTTATTGATCACATCAGGAAATGGAAGAAACGTACCTACCTATGATGGTCAGTATTGAGAAAATATGGCTTAATAAAGTTTCCGAAAGTTGTTCATTCCTTTCTTCACCTTTTGGCCGAAAATGGCATTTACTGTTCTTGCATGCTGAACGGATTACCATGGATGATTAGAAGTGACTAAGCTAGGATAGACGCATTTTATGGTGGAAGAAAAGGGTACAGTCAAGTATATGATCGATCTTTGGAAACGGAAAAAGAGCCTTAATTTTGTGTGATGCAAGTCGTTCGTGTTTTCTACCAAACCTGAAGAGGAAGTCAACTTCACAAGTTGTAACTTTGCACTTCCTTAAATGAGGTAAAGTGGTAAGGAAATTCCGGTTGATGCAATGAGTGTGATTTCAGCGAGATCGAACCGGTAGCTTCGAAGTTCAAAGCCGACATCGTTGCCGCAGTCTCATCAGGCTACCACGACAACAGATGAAAGCTCTGACCCTGATCAGCGGTATACTGAATTCCAAGGATGTTAACTTAATACACCAGTTAACTTCTAGTTAATCTTCATCTTCTCCTGTCAATTGAAACCTTCATCTAACAGCGACCAACTTATTCCTCTCTTGTCCAAACGGGGGTATAAAAATTGACAGCTTCACCACGCCTGAAGACGGAACATTCTGTTCGTGATTCGACACAGCATAAAAGTTTTTCAGTTCCGCATGGGGTCTAAAGGCTCCTCCTGCCGAGTGAGAGGTGATGTGCTGCTTGAGGTCAAGTTCTTGAGCCGTTTGTCTAAGCAGATCGTCTCTGGTTTGTGATATACGGTGTACTTCTTTCTTGACTTTCAACACTTTTACTACTGCCTTGTTCCCGATGTCGTATGCTGGCTTCTTGTGTTGGTCGACGTCTCGTCTCGTTTCGGCTACCGCGCCGGAAGATCACCAGCTGGAATAAACGGTGTTCGGTCAACCAGATTCTCAAATTTTGTTCCTTAATCACCGCACCTACT